AACTTAATTTACAGATAGATGAAACAGCTAACAGCTTTAGGTAGCTATCAACTGTTGATGTTAACTGTTAAATACAAGACAGTGTTCCTATACAACAAAAATTGTACCAGTTTTAAAAGTAAAATTTATAGTTATGATAGATAACCTAAATATAACATGATAACAAACTACATAGCCTATATAGGACTTTGACTTCACAGTATTTTATAACAAAAACTTTTGAAATAACATATGATAAAAACCAGGTCTTTTAAATTTTTAACAGGCAAAACATTAAGCAGTGGAAAATTTTAAGGCCCAAAATACCGATAATCTTACTGAAAGTAATAGTTAACAAACTTCAGAAAAGGGTCTTACTTATAAAACTACTTTGGTTGACATGTTTTAAAATTATCAAAACTTCTTTTTATTATACATGTACAATTTCATTCTATAATTTTTCCCCCTTAATTTTATATTCAGGTACCGGTATATCCTTCAGAATGAACACTTACTAACCCTTATTTTAAATGGCATAGTATTTATCAGTGGACAAAGAACAATAGGCCATTCAATACTCAGAATTGAAGGTTTAATCATAAAACAATTTTCAAAGTCTTCATTTACTTAACATAACACATTCATTGAAACAATATTTCTAATAAACTGATAAAAATAATTCTAAATTCAATAACAAATTTCATTTTCTATTTTTCAAAGGAAAATGATCACTTAGTACATACATGTTAGCTATGAAATATGACACACCATTTTTTGTTTTAACATTTTGAACCTGTCAAATATATAATGAAAATCATGTCACACAATCAAAAAATATGACAAACCATCAACCCCAATTTATTAAAGCTGCTATAAAGCATATCATTAACAATCACATTTAAATCAAGCTTTAAAAATTTCAATCAAGAACAATTAGGCATTATACAATATTTAATCTAACATACCTCTTATCATATAATTTAGAATGCCACCATGTTTAAAATATGCCAACTCAACTTCAGTATCGAAACGAGTTTTGACATCAAAGGATTTCCCATCTTTAACATTCACAGTTAAAATTTGACCAGCTTTGACATCTTCTGGCACTGACACAGAAAAGGTTTCTTTTCCAGTTAGTCCTAAACTTTCAGCATTTTGGCCGTCTAAATATTGGAATGGAACAATACCCATGCCCACTAAATTACTTCGATGAATTCTTTCATAGCTTTCAGCAATAACAGCTTTAACTCCTTGCATCCATGGTCCCTTAGCAGCCCAATCTCTAGATGATCCACTACCATATTCTTTTCCAGCCAGGATGATAACTTGCTTGTTTTCCTTTTGGTATCGTTCTGCAGCATCAAAAACATCCATTTCTTGTCCTGTTGGTACATAAACTGTTCTAGCACCAGGTTTACCAATAAATTTATTCAACAGCCGAATATTAGCAAATGTTCCTCTTGCCATGACGGCATCATTACCCCTTCTAGAACCATAAGAATTAAATTCTCTTGGAGCAAGACCTCGACCAGCAAGATAACGGGCTGCCGGACTATTTCTAGCAATACTTCCAGCAGGTGATATATGGTCAGTTGTCACTGAATCTCCAAGATTTAATAAAACATAGGCATTTTCAATACTGGATGGTGGTTGGATTTCTTTTGTCATTTTTTCAAAGAATGGTGGTGATTTGATGTATGTTGATTTTTCATCCCAAGGATACAGCATGCTTTCTGGAGCTTCTAATGCATTCCATCTCTTATTACCACTAGTTATTTTGGAGTACACATCTTTAAACATTGATGGTACCACAAACTGCTTTTCTACAGTTACAATATCTTCTCTTTTAGGCCAAATATCTCTGAGAAAGACAGGTGTGCCATCAGCTCTGGTTCCAAGAGGTTCGGTTTCAAAATCAATGTTTACGGTTCCAGCAATCGCATAGGCAATGACCAATGGTGGTGAAGCTAAATAATTTGCTCTGGTTAATGGATGAATTCGTCCTTCAAAATTACGATTACCAGACAAAACACCAACACAAACTAAATCTCCTTTTTCAATCCCTTCAGCTACAGGCTCTGGTAGTGGACCACTGTTTCCAATACAAGTCATACAACCATAACCAACTACATCAAATCCAAGTTTCTCCAAATATGGTATGACGCCACTTTCACGTAGATAATAAGTTACGACTCCACTACCTGGAGATAAGCTGGTTTTGATATAAGGACTGATTGTAAGACCTGCCTCGACAGCATTCCTAGCTAATAAACCAGCACCTAACATAACTGATGGATTACTTGTGTTGGTACAACTTGTAATAGCAGCTATCACCACAGAACCATGATTCAATATATATTCTTTGTTATCATAAACTATTGGCACATTAGTTGACTGTTTATCTTTTGGAATGGCAAAACCTTTAAAGCTCACTTTATTATCTAGGCAGTTTTGAAAGTCAGTCTTCATATCAGAGACGGGAACTTTATCATGAGGCCTTTTAGGTCCAGAACAGCAGGAAACGACAGATCCTAGATCTAATTCTACAATTTGAGAAAAAACTGGATCCTCTTCTGGGTTGGAATAATCACGGAACATTTTATTCAGCTGTAGATATTTTTCTATCAGGATCAGCTTTTCATCATCTCGTCCAGTTTGTTTAAGATATGAAATGCTGGCATCATCAACAGGGAAGAATCCAATGGTGGCACCATATTCAGGACACATATTGGAAATGGTTGCACGATCAGCAATTGATAGGGAATTTACACCAGGACCAAAAAATTCAACAAACTTTCCTACCACACCAATTTGACGAAGGTGTTTGGTTACTGTAAGCACAATGTCGGTTGAAGTTATGTAAGAACCTGGTGTTCCACATAATTTGTAACCTATGACTTCTGGTAAAACCATACTAATTGACTGGCCCAACATGACAGCTTCAGCTTCTATACCGCCAACACCCCATCCTACTACACCTAGACCATTTATCATTGTTGTATGGGAATCAGTACCAACCAAACTATCTGGATACAAGGTACCATTTGAGTCAAACACAACTCTAGCCAGATATTCTAGGTTGACTTGATGAACTATTCCAGAACCTGGAGGGACTATCAGCATATTCTTCAATGCCTTGGCACCCCATTTCAAAAACAGGAACCTCTCTTTATTTCGTTGAAATTCCAACTCTTGATTTTTCTCTAAAGCGTCAGAAGTTTTAGAGACATCAACCTGAACAGAATGGTCAATCACTAAATCTGCTGGGCATATTGGATTAATTTTCTCTGGATCACCTCCCATTTTCTTCACAGCATCTCTCATAGCAGCAAAATCTACCACTGCAGGAACTCCAGTAAAATCTTGCAAAATAACTCTTGCCGGCTTGAACGGTATTTCCACTTGTTCATGCTGCGTCTTCGACCAGTTCAGAATATTTTCAACGTCAGATTTTCGAATAACGAACTCGTCACAGTTCCTGACAGCTGATTCAAGAAGTACCCTGATTGAAAATGGAAGTTTGTCATACCGTTCATCTTTCAAACCAGCCAAGTCGAAAAATTTATAATCTTTTCCTTCAAAAGATTGAGATTTTAGAAGAGATGCGAACGGGTGCGTTCCATCACTCGCCATTTTGTTCAGCTTGATAATTGTCACGTGATGTCGAAAGTTCACGACAAATGTTCACAGGGACTTGAACAAACAACCAACGATTAGATGTATTATTAAAGGGGGACATCCGCATAAAATTTTCCATAATTGCATTATTTATTCATGCAGGTTCATTCTGAGTATCATAAAATAACTAGAAAACCATTGAGATAAATAGGACTGTAAATTGATTGTTTGTAATTTATAATGAGACATTTAGCTTAATTATGATGGAGTAGGATTTTATAAGATGGAGCTCACTTTATTTTACTCCAATATATACATAAAATTTTGGGCAAATTCATCTTACCTCGTGTTATTATTTTACAATCCCTGTAAAAACTAATAAATCTATAAAACTTCATAGACCTTTTGAAAAATCATTACAAATTTTAAGTATTTTAAAGGGATTGTAAAGAGGTTTTCTAAACTTTGTTTATCTGAGACACTGATAGCATCAATTTGCACTAATCCAATTTTCATTCTGTGGTTCTTGCAATTCCACTAAAACTAACGCATTTTTTGTCGTCCCTAGAGGGGAACTGCATATTAATAGTAGCTCTTGGTAGATTCCCTTTAGTGACGTCATAAAACGCGTTAATTTTAGTGGAATTGCAAAAACTACAGACGACAGAATGAAAATTGGAATGGTGCAAATTGATGCTATCAGTGTACACAATACACAAAAAAGTTTAGAAAATCTCTTTACAATCCCTTTAATAAAAAACGGTAATTACTTAGTTTATTGAAGAATTACTATTGTAAATCAGATATTAGGATAAGTGGATTCTGTTGTTAAATATATACTTTTATTTGCTCAAGAATTTAAATCTTATGTTCATTCATAAATAGACCCGAACTATAGCCCCTCCCCCCCCCCCCCCCCCTTCAAAATTATTTAGTTTTTAAATGATGTGGTAATTGAAATTCTCTCAAGAATGCAGGATAATTGCAATAACTATCCAATTCAAATGATATCCAAATATGTCCACTGCAATTGATATACAACTGGATCACTGATCAATATAATTTTTTGACAATTAAAAAGAAGACATATACAGGTTTGAATTTATAATGTCTAATAATATTTAATAAACTTAATACAATATATTACAATATATCAATGTATTTTACAAATAAAAAAGTTCAGAATTTGAAAAACAACATGAAGATATTCTGACATGTACAATACAGTATATAATGATTCAAATCATTTTTAGAAACTTTAAAAGTATTTAATTGACCTGTTTGTAAAAATCAAAGACATTTAACTGAAATCACATTCCTATATATCTTTAACAAGGATGTACAGGTTATAATCAACTAACAGAAAATTAATAACTATCACTATGGAAGAAAAAAATAGTAGATTATGGTCTGTATGAGAATTGATATATAGCTATAGATCCTGAACCTCCACCTAATACATATAGTAATGTCTGGTTGGTAGGACTTTGACTCATTGGTATAATTCTGAAATATATAAATTCACAGTTAAAAATACAATATGAAAATATGGTTCAGTAAAGATATCTTAATTGCCTTTTTGGATGTACAAAACATTATTCTCTTTCAGAAATGATTCAAATATTCTTTACCAAAAGCATCTCTTACAGTCTATAGCCTATGACATGGAAAAATGTCAAATATCTAGGATCAGCCCAGGACCCTTATGCAGATTAAAGTCCTTTTGACCATTGTTTGCCAAAGCTTTTACAGAGTTTGTTTGCATTTTTGTTCATCAAAAAAATGAACAGGACAATTGCTACTTTACCTAATGTCAGAGATGTAAGCATTGCCTGCCATATTATTATCATATAAATCACTCCACAAATCTCCAGTACCCCCATCATATTTAATAGTTTGTAATTCAGCTGTAATTGATGATTTATCTACAACATATAGATAAACAGAACCCATAGTTTCACTTCCCACAGCCATAAATAATGTCCCATTAGAACTTTTTACATCCATAGCGTTTAACTTGGGTCCCTGAAATTAAATAAATTTAATCTTTAGTTCATTTGTAGTATGTGGAGGCCGTTGTTCTAAAAAAAATTAGAAATCAATCAAATATTTTTCAACTGATTATATTAATTTTTTAGAAACAACATGATAGCTTTAATTCTGGTTGGAATAATATCTTTTAATAAACAAACCATGTTATCTGAAGTTGAATCACGTAAAGTTTCTGGAGACTGGTTGGTCCAGGCAGCACAATCTGTATTAAATATAGTTTTTAATGATGCAGCATTCTTCTTTTCTATCTCATCTCCACTATCATAAACTGGTGAACCGTAACTACCAGCTTCCCATATACTAAAGCCACGACCACCATAGGTATAGATCTTCTGTAAACCATAGAGTGTTGTACCATCAATTCTTGATACCCTTAATCTTCCTAGATACAAATACAGATCAGATATTACAGTTTCATTTTGTGAAGATTATAGGGCTGACCTTTATTGATTGATTGATAAAGTCACATATATTTTTCCACAATGATTACAGCCCTGGATGCCAACATTGGGTGTCAGGGGTGTTGCCAACTGGTGTAGCAGAAGAATTTATTTCGGTTTGAGAGATCACCTCACATCATCACATGCTACAAATTTTTGGGGTGTTAAAGGACCATGTGATTGCTCCAGGGGTGTGACGGCTGAAATGGGTTGGGAATCAACGGATAACAGGATACACATTTATTCCTGCTATATGATTGTAACGATTTGTTCATTGAAGAAATAACATACCCAATCTACTGTCTGTTTTGAGTTCATTTACAAATGTAGCATTATTTATAGCAATTTCATTCAACAAGTTACCTGAAATAATAGAGTGAAATTGGAAACATATTATTAGTATGACAGTGCTAAAATAAAACACAAAGTTTCCATTAGAAATGAATGTTCTTTGACACGTTTGTTAAAATGCTTCAACATTTATATAAATTTTCATTTTGTACAAATTACATTATCAACAGAAAATTTCACTAAATGGCATACACTCCACGATTTGGACTAGAGATTTTTATTAACGTGATTTTTTGAAAAAAGATTCTTATTTTCTGCCCCATGCATTAGGAACTTTACAGACCTCTACCAAGTTCATCAGCCAAAACACCATCACTCCATATTAAACCATCCACTTCTTTAGTATACTGTCTAACAGCACCTTCATTAGCTGTTACAAGATATGTCTTTTTACCAACTTTAAATTGTTTAATAACATCAGGTTGATATAAACCATGTATAGGATAGGATCTCAGATGTACACCTAAAATATTACATGTAAATTTTTATTGATTTAATAAATCATTATATTTTAATAAATAACCAAATGTTTGGGATATATGGTATGATATAAAATCATCATGGGACTAGTTCAAGTTACAGATCATCCGATTGGAATTCTTAATTGACTTTTTTTTTTAAAACTGCCTGTAATAATGTTCATATTTCCATGAAAATGACAGTTTTAACATCCATGATAAAATTTTGTTCAGTTGTGAAAAATTTTGTTCAGTTGTGCAGTGATATTGATGGGTACAACTCTCTTAAAAGTATTTTGTATAAAAATGATAAGAAAATATATAGGCTAGTATACCTCCATCTCTATCACTAGTATCTAGTTGTAAATCAGACCAATCTTTAGATCCTAAACTATTAATATTTATAACTACACCACTATTTAGGTCCACTTGAGCTATAGCATTATTTTCCTGTTTATTATATATAACATAGTATTAGACATCTGTGGAAAGTCAGAAGTGATACAGTCCCTACTGCCTTTAATACCATATCTAATGATAACAGGCAAATATATCTATCAGAGGCCATCAAATTTTGATTTGCTGTGGAAAACACTGCCAACAATCTAGGACTTGGAAAATTATCATCATAAGAAAATCCATTTCAAATTTTTACACACTTTTTTTTTGTCTTTTTGATTCCAGAAAACTTACTAGATCTGAAAATATCATTATATACCTGAAGGGTAACAAAAGCTATTTTACCATCAGATGAAATAGAGATATATTCAGGTTCTATATCTTGAGCTAATGTAGCAGTCATTATATCATTATTAGGTGCAAAACTTGAAACATGTCGAATATCAGTTCTAAAATATCAAAATAAGTTATTAATATTTATTACAGCAAAAAATAATATCATAGACCAGCTGAATTAAGAACTTCTTTCTGAAGCAGAGTAAATTATTTCTGAAATTTTTTCAATACTTTTAAAAGAATAGGAATTCTGTTAGTCTTATAATTTCTTTGTGACGTTGAAAAAACACAGTTTTGTTGACATTAAAAAGAAACACATTTCCCTCCTAGAAATTTCAACCCATGTTCCAAAATGGAAGCCTTTATTTAATTTCCCCCAAAATTCAAACTGTAAATCTCACCTAGAATTAAATTGATTAAAACCAGCTATACGTTCTGTTGGACTACCAGTAGTTGGTATAGTTATGATACTTATAGAACCTTCAGGATCAGAAAATCTATTAAATGGATCTTTACCATGAACACCTTCATTAGCCACTACAAGTTTGGCACAATTATTGGTAAATTCTATATTGTCAGGATGAACACCAACTTCAATATCAAATAATGTTGGAAAGTCAATAAAAATATACAATAAAATACCAAATAAGAATCTAACATTTTAATAACTTTACTTATTGGCGAGACCAGATGAAATGAATATTAAGTTTTAGAGTATTGTAAATCACCTCAATCCACTTAACCGGGACTATCTTTTTAGCTGTATTTTCTGGGAATGGCTCAGGAGCCTTTAACATTTCAAGCCTTTTAGGGAAAATTTTCAATTTTCAAAATTATTGTCCATTTCATAATAGCAGAAGATAAAAACACATACCTGGTAGCTGACTTTGATAAGAAAATGTTTGAGTTGTTCTATCATAGGTTGTAAAGAATTTAACATGACCATCATAAACTTCTACTGGTGATGATAGAGATACAGCTACTCGTCCATTACAGACCTCTACATCTCTTGGTTTACCATCAGTCTGTAAAAATCTATGTTCCATCAATATTTTAGGAGCTCTTGGATTCTCCATATCTACTATATGAAGAACATAGGAATCTTCACCTGAAAGAGTAAAAGCAATTATAAATCATGTGGGCAAACCACTGTTTTCAGAAACTTTCAAGAATTTGAATATTGCAGATAACTCTTGAGGCACAAAAAGATTCCCTCTTGTACAGCGTTTCCTCCTGGACATTATCAGATGTAGGCTACAAATTTTCAAGGGAATAATTTGTGTATTTAGTGTCCCTTCAGATACATGGCTTAAATATTATTGTTCAATATGGCACATGTTAAGCATCGCTTGTGCTATCAGCCTTGCGCTATTTTCAATCCAGACTCAATTCCTGCAGAGAACCTTGTTTTGTTAGCCACTGCTAATGGTATTGGTGCTTAGTGAAGTGAAATGGGGTGGCAACTGATATTGTGAGAGGTTAAAGCTAAAAGTGGATGATATGCCTCAGAACAAACCTATTCACCAGCACAGTCATCTGCCAATTGGTGTAACTTTTATCTACATTAATAACAGTTTTTTAACTTACCAACAACATATATAATTTGATCATTTGGGTCATAAGCACTTTCTTCAGCAGTTCCACCAAATAGTTTATATACTTCATTATTAGTTACTGGATCATAGGATGGTAGTTTGAGGTAGCCAAGTCTAGTCAGTGAATATAGTGTTGTTACTGGCTGTACCAATACACTGATAACTAAAATATATAGTAATTTCATCTCCACCATCTTGATAAACCTACAATACATTTCAAATAGAATTTCACATCTTACTTTTCTTTGTGTTGATGACACTACACTTCATCGATGTTGAAATGAGGTGAAAATTTGTTCCGACATCGAGCTGAATTTCTTTTTTTCACTTTTGGAATTTTGAAAATGCGAATCATTATTTTTATTTTTTTTTTTTAAAACTCTGGCCCCGTAACACTAACTGAGTAACATTGTTTCAGTTCCTATAGATTTGTTACATCGAGGAACAGGTTAAAACTCACCCTATCACTGTGGGACTTTCTAAAGGAATGAGGTGATCATATTAATCCTTAGATGATCTCTATATTATCAGATAAATTGACAAAGATAAGTCACATTTCCATTTCAAATTTTTGGAGCTAAATAAGATAAGATAATACTTTGACACGCGTACCAGAAAATACCTGGCCATTTCCTTCAGAGGTCACCTTAATCATTTGATTTTTGTGAAAACTAAATACTCCATAGCTAAAACCTTTGTCATCTTATTGAGCAATACATGCAAAATGCACAGATCACAAACTCACTGGTACAATTTAAAAGTGACAAGGTGATATTCTCCTGAAGATTCTCAGAACTTTAACACCATACATTCTAAAAATGGCACAAATTACCATAATTCATGTAATGTAATTAACATTGGACTGGGCTAAATAATGTGATTAATATTAGACTGGGCTAAATAATGTAATTAACATTGGACTGGGCTAAATAATGTAATTAACATTGGACTTGGCTAAATAATGTGATTAATATTGGACTTGGCTAAATAATGTGATGAATATTGGACTGGGCTAAATAATGTAATTAACATTGGACTTGGCTAAATAATGTAATTAACATTGGACTTGGCTAAATAATGTGATTAATATTAGACTGGGCTAAATAATGTGATGAACATTGGACTTGGCTAAATAATGTAATTAACATTGGACTTGGCTAAATAATGTAATTAACATTGAATTTGGCTAAATAATGTAATTAATATTGAACAGTGATAATGTGATTAAAAGAGCTCAAATTATGTGTATCCATAAAATTATTCACGTTTGAAAGTTAAAAATTCAATGAAGTAACAAGAATATCGTTTGGATATTGGAATTGGACCCTTGAGGGCTCCCAGATTCTTAGAAACAATGTAGGCCATTTTGAAAGATTATTAGGGGCAGTGTTTATGTCTTGTATTTTCTTCTCCAATCCACTTTGCCCCGTGTTCAAATAGCCTCAGATTCCAGTATAAAACATGACAATAAACAATTTATATGTTTAATAGCTATAGTATAATTAATGTTAGAATAACAAATATTATAATCAAATTTACACCATTGTCTGTCAGCTATAATAGGATATACTGTATTGTTTTTTGATACTCCAACTTGAAGCTAAATGAAAAGGTATAGCTGACATTTATACAATTTCAAAATTCAGCGAAATCTGCTCTTTGACAAAAAAATTACCTCTTAAACAATTTTACAACTTCCAAAATTGTAATTGTTATTTTTGATAATAACTTTAGTAAAGACTGACTGGGTTAGTTTGACACCTTTAAACAATGACTGTTAATAGTACTTCCTGCTATCCAAGCTAATATGGATTCTTTATGAAACATGAATGATGAAATCAAGTCTTAGCAGTGAATAATTTTCACATTTTTGAATAAAAAAACAAGAAACATAATGTGGAGACTTTGGAAAAATCATTTCATATTATCACAGATTAACAGAATTTAATACTGAATGATTCAAATATTACATTGTTCAGTGACTAGTATAAATAGAATAAAAGAAAGGAAAAGACTAAACCGAACTTTATTTCAGTTCTCAAAAATAACTTTTGATAATTGAAAATAATACCTGCTTTGCCATTTTCAGCAATGCTCAGTAATATGTTAACAAAAAAACTCATATTATACTTACAGTTACAATTAAGACATTTCATCATTATTACATTTACTTTATCAATAAGTTAAATTTACATTGTGTTAGTTTTATTTTACATTATACTGTTGACTAGAATAATAGACAAACTTTTCAAAATTAAAATATTAATTTAACATGCCCTTGATGAAATAGCAGTCCTTACAGACTATTGTTAAACTTTCCATGAAATAGTTCTTTTGATTTAATATAATAGAACAGTAGGAAAATTAATCTGCCATAAATTAATGAACAACATTCATGAAATGGGACAGTATTGTTAATACACTATTTGTAAAGACTGTAGTTTCCAAAATCTTCAGCGAGATAAAGGATATCTATTCAAAAAATAATGCTTTTGAATCTAATTTGGGCATTCAAAAAAAAACAGTCTTGTTAAACAGTTGATTGACTGAACCAAAAATAATAATGATTTGACAGTACAGAACTAAGTATAGAATATAATCTCAGGAATCTGTCCATCTTCAACTGATGTTCCATTATTATTTCCTGCAGCATACGTAAATTGAAACGTGACCTTTCCACTTGAAACAGATTCATGTGTAACTTTACGAAGACCTTTTGAACCATAATAAGAATCTGGACCCTGAAAAGGATAAAGGAGTTCAAGAGAAAGTTATCAATCATGCAGTTTTATATATGTGTTTATTACTAATATACTTATATCTTGGGAAACAGTCTGTATATATAGAGAGTCTAAATTTCCACTAGGATTTTGCTAAAATGTTGGACATACATGTAATTCTAAGCTTTTTTCCCTATGAGTATTTGACATAAAAATAAATTTGATGGTAAGGTGGTTAAGAATATCTCTTAGAAAATAATGGTCTAGAGTCTAATATTTGGGTAAAGAAAAATACCATTTCTTATTAAATTATTACCTTTAATGTAGTGCAAGCTATATAACTAGTGTTTGGTAATATTTCTACTGGTTCTTTAAACATGACACGAAATGTAGAAGTTGTACCATCACATGGAAAACTTGTATCATTACTACCCATAACTTTACCAGTATCATTGTGAATTATCTACAGATAAAAACAGAAATTATTTGCCAGCCTTGTTCAATTCTATAGTTTGGTAAAAGGGTCTTTTTGATCAAGTGTACAATCAAAATACATGATAGAATTATATGATTGCTTTGCTCTTCTTTTTGGTAAAGATATAATTCAGAAGGAGAAAATAGCTTCCCAGGCAAGGTAATATATGCCCACTGGCAGCTTTGATTTTGAATAAAAATATGTGGCAGTCCAGTAACAATCACCAGTATGAAATATTCTGCCATCAGTCCTACACTTCTTTTGAACTTTTTGGGGTGATACTGAACAATATTATAATGATAACAGTAATAATAATGATGCATTTATATAGCGCTATTTTTCTAGAAAAGTTTTACTAAATGGGACTGAGTTCCTCTGTCATATATTGTATTCACAATTAAATAAGTGTGTCTTAAGATGAGTCTTGAATATGTCCACTGAATTTGCATCTTTAACATGTTTTGGTAGATTTTTCCATAGCACATACGCTGTGGCTGAAAAAGCACGATCCCCACAGTAAGTTCGCAGAGTTTTTGGCAAAATATCAGCAATTTTCATCAAATCCCTTGAAAATTGGGCCCTTAGAATGTTTACAAGCTAAAATTAGAACGCGTTTCCAAAAAAAAAAGGGCAATAACTCATGGCTCCCCCATTTTATGTGGGCATATAAAAATGAAGCATATCAAAATCAGTACTTAAACGACTTCAATATCCTTCCTGGATCATTCAAGATGGAAATGAATGACTGGATCAATTATTTGCTTCATTCAACTTTTATTTTTGTTATCAGTTTAACATCTGACAGACAAAACAACTGCATATTTAGATGTTTTGTTTTCCAATATATCTAGTTCATAAAGAATATATCATATCTTCATAATGAGCTGATGTCATTACCTGAATATTCACAGCATACTCTGTAGGTCCATGAATACTACCATATAGTCCAAATCCCACCACAAATATACGTCGGTTTACCATGAATCTATAATATATATCAGTGTAACATTTTGTTATATAACAAGCAAATACAAATTACACATAAAGACAAAAATATATTTCTTAAGTCAAAAAACAAATCAAAATTAGTACTATAATAGCATAGATCATGTCGAAAGCTAAAATTTCTTTGTGAAGATAGTTTGCCAGGCATGAAAACATACGCCCACTGACTGCTGTAAGAAAGGATAACTAAATCTTTATTGACCAAAATTATATTAAAGATCTTCAGATACAAAATTCTCATAATGAAGATCTTCATAATGCATTTGTAGTTCAAAAACATTAAATATCCCATTAATTTACAGTCAGTTATGCTGAGCTTTTTCACAAAATCTTTTTAAATCAATAGCAATAACCCAGAAACATTGAATTATCAAAGATATATAATTAGTTATCATCAAATTCACACTCACAGTCTCATCAACATAGTCAAATTTGAACTTGACTGAGATCTCATAAACATACACATGGATACCAAGTTTCATCAAGATCTGCCATCATATTTACAAGCCAAATTTGATGTGTTTCTACAAAGGTAAGGGCAATAACTCTTAAACCGTCCATTCAAAATGAGCCACATTTGAGCTTGACCAAGACCTGATCACTATATACATGCATAGGCTACCAAGTTTCAGCAAGATCAGATAAAAACTGTAGGCCTTTTTTACTTAGTCATGGAGAAAACCATTTAACCAAAACGAGTCAAATGCGAACTGACTGAGATCTCATCAATATACATGCATACCAACTGTCATTAAGATCAGATAATACAGCCATTATTGTGTATATAAGATATGAACAAACCAATGGACCTTATCGACGGAAATATAAGTCCACATTTCCACTGCTTTTTTATACTCTACTAACCTGATTCTATCACTAGTTCCACTATAGCCCCAACGACTTTCTATCTGACAAAATCTCGAAACAACCTGTTCTTTTCCAGTCAGACAGCATCTTGGTACATCCAGAAAATTAATATTTGGTTTAGGATTAACAGTAAAATATAGAAATAGCTCCACAACTTCACGATCTTCTAATATACCACTTTGAGCTGCACCCATAGCAAACTCTTCAACAGTCATAAGAGGAAACCGTATTAATCTTAATGATCTGTCAAGAACTTGGCGTTGATTTTCAGGACTAGGTGTCAAATTCTTTTTCATGCATTCAGCTTTAGCCCATTGACAAACTGCATGGAAGAGTTTACACTCACGAATACCCAATGAATCTCGTTCTAAAACAACACATAACGTATCAATATCAATGTCAGTAAAACCATCAGCTACCAGAGCTTCAGTTGTATTCTTATCAATAGTCTCTAAACATAAAGCAGCTAACTGTGGTTCATCAAATAATCTAGCCTGGGTAAGCAGTAGAAAAGCGTTATCACTACTCAGGTTTCGCTTTAAGAATTCAACACAAGCTCTCTCAAGTGCTGGTACAGCATATTTCTTCGCTGTATACAATGTAGTCATCACAGTTTCAGGTCCAATTTGAACCTCATCAGAGTACAGGAAGCGAAGAAGAGCTAGAAATGCAGAAGGTTCAACATCAGGAATTTCTATCATATTTTCACTGGAAGCCATTCCACCATTAAACAAAGCATCAAACACTGCACTACCCACACACAATACAAATTTATGAGCAGGAATTACCTCTTCATTAGGTTCTTTTCCAACTTTAAAATGAATATCAGACATAATTTCTGTGTTAAATAGATAAGCCAGTCTTTCTTTCACATTTGTTCTGCCAGCTTGCCAGTTGTACTGAGTATTACCTTTATTATGTGCTTGTTGAAGACTAACTGTAGAAAATGTTGAAATTGGCACTGGAACAATTGGAAGTGTTTCAGTTACAGGTGAGACTGTGACATTACTTTTGACAACAGTATTGGCACTGATACTTGTAGGATTAGGTATATTGATTGCACCTAGTAAACTGTTGATTGGAACTTGCATTGGATTCAAATGGGCTTCCCTGGCATTAGCAGTGCCCATCAAGGAAGATGAAATACCAGTGATGGAAGTAGATGGTGAAGGAGTTAATGTGTAACATTTGGTTGATGGTGGAGAATGAGTAGGCTGATTAGCATAAGCTCCAGTTGGTGATGTTATTTGAGTGTTACTAACAGTTGTTGGAGAAGTAGGACTGTTTCCACCACTACTGGAAGAATTACTGTTGTTTGGACAATTTTTGGCAGTCTCCTCTGTTTTATCTGGATCCATTTGAGCAAGCTGTCACAGAAATACACCAATAGTCACTTGTGTCACATATCTTCAGAATTGTTTCCTTAAATAAAAAACAATAACAATACATTTAGTGTTTATTTGCTACTAAGTCTTTCTTTTCTACTTCATCATCCTTTATGCTTTAGGATATGAACAAATTAAAATGAATTGAGTTTTACTTCCTACTTTTCTGCATCTAGTCGACTTATGAACATGGACAACACCATACAGTGTGCATTTGCCTACTATTTTTGATTCCCAACTGTCAAAGGATCTTTAACGTGCACACAAGGCTCAAGTTTCTTGTCCGATTGACTGACTATGCTTCTTAACTTGAAAATAAAAATATGCAAAGGATAATTTTAAGTCTGAAATGTGGGTCAGAATTCGGGAAGGGTCAGAATTCTGGAAGGAAAGAAGTGTGTTTCTTTCAAATGTAAAATTACCCAAGCTTATATATTTGACTGAATAAATTCTAAGAGAAATGACAATGCATTTGAAAATTCTATACAATTCTGATCGCACTGGGGTAAAGTAGGAACATGATTAGCAATAAATTGACATTGTCTACTAGCCTACTATTGACAAACTGACAAAAACAATATGAATAGGATAGGCTAATAATAAACTGTGTTTAAATCTGTAGACACACTAAGTATCATACACTAAGAGAGGGCAACAACAATGAATGACATGTCAACAATATTATGCATTGTGAACAGTGTCTAGAACGGTATAAATTGAAAGCGTAATAAGCTGCCACTGTCAGTGTCATAGGGCCTAATAACAAAACAAAAGGAAGGTGAAGGTCGAAATGTCTACAAAATATTATTTGTTTTCCTAGCTAGACTTATATTACTGATGGATAAAGTTCAAATAGAAATGTTTCATGATTCATAAGTTAGATAATTGATAATTTTATATATATGTAAAACATTTACAGGAAGCGAAATGAGGATCAAAAGAGGCAGGAACTACCATAAATTTTCCAATTTTTACTGGAGAACAGGAAGTACAGGATTATGCGAAGAGAGCATGCGTTCTGTAACCGGATGTAAACAAAGATCAAGCTACTTTCAGTTTATCGATAAAAGGACAGATAGCTTGCCAGGCAATATAATATACGTCATACGCCCACTGACAGCTGTCAGAAATGATATAAAATTATGAACTGTAAGAGAGAGTATACGATACTCTAAGACTGTGCCTTCTGAGCCGATGTTGAAGTCTTTACAAATTCAAGGCCAATAAAAGCTTTTAAATTTATTTTAATCCCAATTTTGAACCCGGTACCGACTACCCAGGCCCGTAGCTATAAGGATTTCCGGAAAGGATTAATAATTTACATGTGCGACCTCGCGTGACCTCCGCATTTGCTTGTTTTGATAAACGTGGGTTTTCTCTACAATATCAGCTACTAGAATGAATTCAGTAGTTTCAAGCAAGATAAAATTATTAATGTATACTTTGACAAATACAAAATGGCGGATTTCACTTATTACCAAACGTCACCATTTTTTATCGGCCGAATTTCCTTATAATCCCAAGCGGTAATCGGAATTCCAAGTGTCGTCTGCTAGAATGTAGTCCAACGAATGAAGTCATGTGATCAGCTAGCGGATTCCGTGTCAGCAGAAAATTTCTATGGAACACAAAGTGGACCATATTCTTAAGTTGTTTCAGTGACTTTTAGCTACGTATCTTATTTTGTCAGTCACTATTTTATTTTAAAATCGTGGTTCTTTGCAGGAATTGTCACTAGTTATAATGAATTGATATTAAAGATAAATACTAAGAGAAGTTTATTATACCACCCGGTATCCATACAACGTGTTTTTTCTAGACTTATTATCAAACATTGTAAACGAAAATTGGTGACTCATTCTGCCGCCTTTGCCGAGTTGGTTGCTCATGAAATATTGGTCAAAGTGAAGGATTCATAAAGAAAATCGAAATAAACCAATTTTAATTATTTTGTAGAATATCTGAAGAAACATTTAAGACATTAAAATTCGTTTTTTTAACTTTGACGAAATTCGGTGTTGAATCCTTATATCATCGAAAATAGGTTACACCACTGTATAGTTTCTTTATTGACTTTTTGAATCATATAGTTGAGATCCCGGGCTAGCTACGGGCCTGCGACTACCGTGATCTTAATCTTATACTTATCCATTAAATCTAAGATTGATTGAAAATTGAAACATCTCCATAAATGCAAAATTTGTCGCAACTGTTCATTCGATTGATACCTATTAAAAATTTTATCCGGAAATTATCACTAGGCTATATCATCTTACTAGCACACGACTAAAACTCAAAACAAATTTTAGTAAGTCAAGGAAAATAACGCTCAAACCATTCATCCGATTTTAACCAAATTTGAAACTGATATCTCATCAATATATACATGCATACCAAGTTTCATCAAGATAGGAGTAGCCTCTTCTTGGCAAGCCAAATTTGACGCGATTATTATTTACTAAGTCAAGGGCAATAACTCTGACGCCGTTCATCTGACAGATATTATCAATTATACTAGCAAGTTTCATCAAGGTTTAACAATTTTACTTGTTTTTATTCAGTCAAGGACAATAACTCCAAAACTGTTCATTCAATTGTTACCATTTAACCTTGACCCAGAACTATCAATATATACTAGCATACCAAATTTCATCAAAATCGGACAAAAACTATAGCCTCATATGCATCGTGTCCAAACCACACCCCATTCCTCATACTACCTCGGGGCCGTGGTAACGTAAGTGAGGAAAATTACGCATTCATAGATAAATATTGTCCAATCAAAATTGGTAGCAAATTTCAGCCATTCAAAACAAATTACTCGTTTGTTTGTTTGTTTGCGAACGAAGGTAGGCTAAAGAAAACGAAAGCAATGCGCCATTACATATTTTGATAAATATGTACGGCACAGAATGGCATGTCATGCGCATGGTTTTCGTTAAAGAATTGAAGCCGAGAGAAAACGAAGTGTAGTTGGCTTTGTTTAATACGGGCTAATAAGACCATGTTAAAACTCGTGTTCGTGATACGAAGAGACTCTGTAATGTCTACAAGCCAAATTTAATGCGTTTTTAACTGAGTCAAGGGCAATAACTCTGACACCTTTCATCAGATTATAATTGGATCTTGACTTGAAGATTTTATCAATATATTATACATGCATACCAAGTTTAATCAAGATCGGATGAACACCGTACGTGTCGATCCAAATTTGGTTTATTTCTAAGTCAAGTGCAATAACTCCACCCAATTATTACTAAGTTGGAACCTGACTGAGACTTCTTCAATACACCCTAAATCAAGATTGGATAAAATCTGAAGCACCTGCAGGTGGTGTCTGCATGGAATCACCTCCCACATTGTCTAAGCACCTTGGCCTACCTCGAAATTTACACTAATCCCTCTGCAATATCTCACGGTATTGAATAGCGACCATTATAATTTATCGGAACTTATAATTACGCGATTCTGGTAATTTAAATATCAGATGCTGGTCGTTCAGGACTATAAGTAATTGTAAACTAATGTGACAGGTTTACCTCCCACAGGCTCTCTATTTATAGACTACCGTACATTTATATTACAAGAATCTGTAAAAAAAAATCAATTGAATTTACGCTTACAGTCGGGAATTGGTGATCCAAATTGGCCCCTTTGATTTTAATTTTTATCATCCTGTTTGAAATTTTACGAGAAATCTTGTTAATGATAATGGTTTTTGTCAAAGTCGACTTGAAAGTGAAGAAATTTTAAGTCCCATTCAGAAAACCTCTTTACAATCCCTCTAACAATTTACACTCCGTTTTTAATTGAGCCTTTCAAAACAAATTAAGTTTGATCAAACAGATACATAGATATAGATAGCATATCTTATAAATCGTTCCCCGTATAAGTTACAACGTTGTTAATAATGAAAATTTTGCTTATTATTCTCCCTTTAACCCTTGTGCTAGAACTTGGGGTATTTCGGGACCCCAGCACCAATTTTTTTCGAATTTCCAAAATGCCATCGAAGATAGCAGTTTGGTTATTTAAAACATTGTAGCTGAATGAATTTTTAACCTGTTCATGATCAGTCTCCTGTGCAACAATCACAAATAGCGGATATGTTACCCTTTTAAATTGAAACACACCATGCTAGTATGTTGGGGTATATTTAGACCCCAGATAAATGCAGTGCTGAAACTGGATGTCAGTAAATAATATTAAATTGTAATCTGTCCCTAAAGCTAGTTATCTCCCTTTATTTACCACATGGTTTGCCTAGGTCACATTTGGTTGATAACATTGGATTTTTATCTTCATCTTTTTTGTGTTTCATAATAAGTTGATTTTATTTCAAAAACAAATATAATTTCTATAATTTTCTTTATTTATAATGTAAGTTCAGAAAAATCAGAAGTAATCATGTCCAGATTGTGCAAGCCATGATCAACAAGGCAACATACATATTTTCTTGAAGGTTGTGTGTTTGAAAGCTTGGGGTTCTTTTGGACCCCAAATAAATAAAAGTATTACATGCATCAGATAAATACTTTTTTGTCATTTCAGTATGTCGAGACAGTGTAAAATAAGTGCAAATGAGGTCTTGGAAAAGATTTTACAAGATGAAAGTGGTAGTGAATCAGAATTTTCTGATTGTGGATCTGAACCTCAATATTATCCACCACCTGATTCTGATTCTGATTCCACTACAAGCGATGCTGATGTGGCTGTAGATACTGATGAGTTGTCTGATAAATCAGGTGAATCTGAAAATGATGAAGCTGTTGAAAGTAATGATCTTGTAGGAAAGAGTGGCTTAGTATGGAGTTCTAATCCCCCAAAAATCCACAGACGCCAGGCTCAGGACATACTGAAAGAAAAGCAGGGTCCAAAAAAATGTGAATTGGTAATTAGTGCAAGGTCATCGCTTAGTTTATTCATCACAGATGAAATCATAATGATTATTGTTAGGTATACTAATCAATATGCACGATCTGTTTATCAAAGCTGGAATGATACTAATCCTGAACATGCTAAAGAGTGGAAACCAGTTGATGACATTGAATGTAGGGCATTCATAGGTCTTCTTCTCCTTGCTGGTGTTTATCGCAGTAATCATGAATCATTGAATGAACTCTGGAGTGTAGAAGCTGGCCGCCCTGTTTTTAGGGCAACAATGACCTTGAAAAGATTTACTACTATTCTGAGGTTCTGTCGTTTTGATGATAAAAACACCATATTGTAGCGAAAGGAGGTAGATAAGCTTGCACCTATATCAGATGTCTGGGCAATGTTCAACCAAACTCTTCATAACCATTACAAACCAGGAGCATTTTTGACAATTGATGAGCAGTTGGTGCCCTTCCGAGGACGATGTTCATTTAGGCAGTACATGCAAGCCAAAACGGCTAAATATGGTTTGAAGATTTGGTGGATATGTGACTCAACCTCAACTTTTCCACTACATGGTCAAGTATACCTTGGTAAGGCTTCTGATGGTGTTCGAGAAGTTAATCAGGGATCACGGGTGGTTAGAGATTTGATGACGCCATGGCTGAACACAGGTCGAAATGTAACGACTGACAACTTCTTCACCTCAATACCACTAGCTAATGATCTTCTTTCAAACAACACAACAATTGTTGGAACCCTTCGAAACAACAAAAAAGAGTTACCACCTGAAATGAAACCGAGTAATAAGAGAATACCACAATCTTCAATCTTTGGATTCTCTGATAATCTATCTTTGGTCTCTTACGTACCCAAGAAGGGCAAGGCGGTCAATCTATTATCAACTATGCACCATGATAAATACATTCCAGAGGATGGCAACCCTGCTAAGAAACCTGAGGTAGTACTATTTTACAACAAAACTAAAGGGGGTGTAGATAATTTAGATAAGTTGGTATCAACTTACACATGTCGTCGAAAGGTCCTTAGGTGGCCAATGGTGATTTTCTTCAATATGCTAGATGTAGCTGCTGTAGCCGCACTGCTAATCTGGATATCAAAGTTCCCACAGTGGAAAGTTGGTTTGAAGAGCCGAAGACGTGCATTCCTTCGAGAATTGGGAAATCAATTGACAAGTGAATTGATTGAAAGGCGATTGAATAATCCAAGGTGTTTACAGGCCGGAGTTAAAAGTGGTCTTGTATCTATCGGTTATAGTTTAACAGATATTCCACAACCTGAGGAACCAAGCAGTAAACGCAGGTGTATCATTTGCCCAAGAGAGGCTGATAGAAAAGTCAAGTCTGTTTCTAATACTTGCTCAAGGCCCGTTTGTAAAGATCATTTTGCAAAGATAATAATATGTGAAGACTGTGCTGACAGATAAGATAACATTTTACTAAAATTTTGCATAATTTCTCCGGGGTCCTCAAGTACCCCAGGTGGTCAAATTTGAGTTTTTTATATATAATTTTCAAATTATCAATAAATGTTACAACCATATCAAGTTAAGTTAGCTATTTTTGAAATCTTGACCAATTGGTCAATAATTGAAATAAAGCAGATGCACTCTGCTCATCCCTAGCTCACAACCCGACCCTTATATAATATTCCAGATAATAAGTATGGCTTGAAACCAAGATGACTTTCACATATCGGTATAACTTTCATCTTGAATACTTTATTTGGTCAAAAAGGAGTCCTTATGAAGTATTATTTTCCATACCAGAGTATATATTTCATGTTCTTTTTTTGAAAATTCCCATTAAATAATAGGGGTCCCGAAATACCCCAGGTTCTATCCAATGTTATTTAAACGACGTGCTAGCACGAGAGTTAAGGAGGTACTTCCCAAGCGTGGTAAATAACTCCTGCCATTACACAAAAAAGGTGGATGGGGATTTACAACCAATCAGATTCAATAGAATCTAGACTCGGTCAATTGCAAAGCTGTCGGGCCATATTTCGTCTCAATTTGATATTGAAAAAAATTTATAACAATTTCGTTTCGTTAGTATTTTTTGTCGATATCAATCGCAGACCGAAAGAAAAATATATAAAAAAAACTAATCCAACTCAGGAAATGTTGGTCTGGGTGTTAGAGGCTATCAGTTATATATAGATCAGTGACTTCCGCTCTGCAAAGACAACATCTTAAAGGAGAAAATTGAATGAAAATTGGTCAAATGTATCTTTGTATCTTTGCTACTCACTAATCTCCTCGGGTTAACTCAGCTGGTAGTTTATCTTCTACTGTCTGTCCATGCTAACCAAAAATAAAATAATATTATTTGGTAATATAATATGATTTTACCGAATTTTTACAGGCTACAACTAAAAGTAAAACTAAATGTAAATTCGTTCAAAACTTATACTATAAGTTATAGATCTATTTCTAAGTATCCAAAGACATTCTAGGACAAGTGAATGCAATTGATTATTTTATTTTTAATATTTGTGAAATGAGAAATTAAAATGTTATTCTTAAAAGGCAGATTTATACTCCGCTCATTGAAGCACAGGTTATTTCACCCTTGCTGTACCTTCGCATGTTGATTTTCAAGTTAGGCGAAGGAGTGAGATGTGGTCCTACTTCTTCACTTCACTTTGGTCTTTGCAGCCAATCAGAGACCAGATGAAACAAACTGACCTTGACAGATTGACATCACAAAGCTAAGCGATGCCTAGCGAATGAAAGCTTCTCTAAACTGCATTATCTTCACTCTTTCGCTATAAACTGGCCTTCAACTGACTAGTTAGATAGTAGCTTCAAATAGTATGCATGCGCACTCTTCGTAATTGTTGGAAGATGAAGGATGTGTTTGTTTGATTACAGTACCTTACTAGAGTGAGATCTATAGGGCTTATTCAAATGAACTATATTTCCATACACAATGACTACAAAGTAGATCATGTACTTAATAATTAATATTCATGTTTTTTGCAGACCTTCCAAAAAATGGCAAACCAATCAACATTAAAGTCAGTTTTAGAAAATGAAACCTGATTTGAAATGGAGAACAATCATCAAATTGTTGAATCTGCTGCTTACATTCAAGAAAAAGAAAAAAAATCTGCATTCAAGAAAGAAAAAACGGTGTCAAAGAAAGAGAGTTTATTGAACAATGTAAAAGAAGAAATAGAGAAAGGCCCAAGAATTTCTTCTCAAAAAAGGAAATCTGATTCTTTAATAAATGAGATTTCAGCATCCACCACAAGGAAAAAAAGAAAAAACAAAGATTCCAGACATGAAACTTGTGTGAAGGTGGACAAGGATGGCTCAACAAGTCATTCTTATGAGAAAATTCACTGCAATAGCAGCAGTAGATTGAGACAAAAGCCTTTAAAGACAGATAAAACATCTTCATTCGAATCTAAAGTCATAAATGTTCCATCTAAGCTAGAAAAATACTCTGAAGCCCATAAGAATGGTTGTGTTAAAAGTGATTCAAAGTGGAAAAACAGAAAAACCTCAATGAATGGTAAAACAATCCAACAGGAAGCAGTTCTTATTGACAATAAGTCATCTAAAGACGATTATTGGTATTCTAAATTAGATCAACGGGCCAGAGACAGCTATATTCCAGATTGTGATGATAAGGTAGCTCATAAAAAACTGAAGAAACTTGAAAGAAGCAAAGATGATAATGTGGTAAAGAAAGATATAAAGTTTGAGAAGGCCCCTGTAGTTCATAGCAATGGTTTTAGTAAAAGTAGACTTGTAAGTGAAGAGATTAAAAGTCTGGTTGTGCCTTCAACTCCACCCAAGTAAGTTTATTTAGCCACTATCTCTATATAAAAACTTCTATATATCATTCAGGCCCCGTATTCTCTAAACGACCTTAGCGCTTAGGATGTCCTAGAATCAATGTTAGAAGATAAGAACTTAGGACATGCTAGTGCTAAGATCGTTTCGAGAATACGGGGCCAGGAGTTCAAAATAAGGGCATAAAAGGTGCCCATATTTGTATATTTGGTATCTTTTTCCAATCCTTAAATGAGCTGTACTGTAGGACAAAGATGTTCATGACTTAACAATTGGATATTTTAAGTTAAAACTTTCACAAATGGTAAGGGTGCATCTTCCTCTACATGTTGGCATGCAGTTTGGTGTATTTCACCAAATTAATAAAAAAGATACTTTTGTTTGTCTTTGCTTTATAGACGTACAAATGGTTATGATCCCAACCTATGCTATGATGCTTGTGATACACCCCCACTGGCCATGAGTCAAAAACAAAATGGAGTACTGAATGAGAAATCTTCACCAACTGTAACGGACAGTTTTATATCTGTAAATGGACTAAGTCAAAGTATTTGTTCAGAAGAGGATGATGATGATTTGCCTGAATTTTTAACCAATTCTGAAGGTAATAAGATGCCCTATTGGAATGTTTTTATTATCTGTTGCACAATAGAGATCTCTTCCAGATAATTCTTTAAGCAGAGTCAACTGAATTGATGAGGAAAAGTCACTGGACCCGGTATTCAGATATTAGAAGCACAATTATCAAGTAAATTCATAGTGTATGCTTATATATTATAATATATATAGACGGAATATAGATGGTTATTTGGTATCACTAAGGTAACAATAATTGTTTAGCATAGTTTTAACTTATTTTTTAGAACAAGGTTACACACCAAAAGAAGATGACTTGATCTGGTTCAAGTACAGACACTATCCCTTCTGGCCAGCAAAGGTTAGTAGGCAGATGGTAAACCAATATTTAGATTTTGTATGAAAATATATTAATGTAATAAGTTAATGTTTTGATCTGAATTCTTCCACAATCAGTCTACTTCAGAAAACTGTGATTACTAGAGAAATCAGCTTCTTGATTGGACTGTTTGCTAGCGTATAATCCTATCAAATCGCTGCATTTACAAAACACATGAAAAGTGTCAAGGTTTTAGACAAAGATCATGAAAATATTCTGATGTTGCTTCTATTTACAGATATTAAAGATTACAAAATTAAAAGGAAGGCTTAAATTAAGAATATATTTCTTTGGTGAGGCACAAAAGTAAGTCTTAATTGACCTGTAAATTTTGTCAACAAGGATTTTAATATGCTATTTGTCACTTGAAAGCCCCTAAAAACTGTCTAAAATTTAAAAAGTATAATGATGGATTTAGAAAGTATTATTATGAGGGTATTGTTGTATGCAGTGATTGTACAGTGAGAAAACTGACAGAATTGTTAGTATTATTAACAATATTGTTGAAAAGTAAAGTCAAATGAGGCAAAGACTCCTAAAAGTGACATTTTATAAATTATGTATTTTAAATCCACCCAGACTCCCCTTGGTCACATTTAATCTTGGCTTGTGAATATACAGACTTGATTACATTTTATTGTAATTATTAGAGTGATAGATATTCATTGACAATGGTATACCAATATTGGTTCTAATTTTAGATTCACAGTAAATTATTCCAAGAACTCAGTATTACCATATTTTCATCCCAAAAAAGATATTTTGACTGTGAGTATTTTCTACAAAATATTCTGTGTTTGTCACTTTGATAATAAACATGAATGCATGGCTAAAAAACAACAGAATTATTTCTTCATAGGTTCTATCAATATATGGTTTTGAATGTTTTAACAGGAAAAAGGGAAAGATACAGACAATAAAGTATTAAAAGAATCGTTTCTGAAAAGCATAAAGGATGTGACGTCAGAGGTGATGAAGAAGGCATCAGTTTCATTAAACAGCTCACCAACAGAGAAACATTGTTTTCAGTTAAACAGCAGTGGGGGTTGGTAGATCTATTTAAATATTAATTAAAAGTATCCACGGAACCTTAATTATTTGCCCATTGGAAATTCTGACTATCTGGTTATTTCAACCACAAGTGTAGAAATATTATTGTTCACTTTATTGATCCTTACAATAAATAAGAATAATGCAATCTCGAATAAGTTCAATAATTTGATAATTCTTTTCTGGGTCTCAGCCATAGTTTTCTTCGAATTTTGAGTTATTGGGCTTGAACTGAAAACACATCAAAATCAAATGTTTAGTGCAATTCATTTTTTATGTGATTGTATTGTTATGTCAATTGATGATATGTTGCAGTACTCCTCTGAAAAACAATTATTACTTTGCTACTGCCGTAAGCCTGATAAACTATTATTGAATTATAACTTGTCTATTATAGAGGAAAGTTTTAACAGTATTACTTCATTTAAAGATGAACAGTCTGAGTTTAAACTGAATTGGAAACAGAGAGGGTAAATCTGGCTATATATATATCTGATTAATAATTCATAAATATTCCTTTGGGGTATGGTATGGTGGCTTTTTCAATCCAGTTTCCTATGTCATTGAAACAGATTGGAGGGTCTGTGATGGAAAAAGCCTATAGCTGTTTGGATTGAAGAAAATCTAGGCCCCCTAGAGGTGCAGGTTGGAAATCAGACTTATGCAGTTATCCTGACAATATTTCCCACATAGCACACTACCTTGTGTTGTTGTTTTTATTAGAACAATTAGATATAGAAAAATAGACATTTCATTTCATTAAATACTCATTGTCCAATTCTACAAATTTATCATAGATGTGAACATCAGTAGAACTTTGTGGTTTACTTAATAAATAGATCAGCTATGTTCTCTTACTTTTTACTAGCATGTCTTTCATTTCGGACTCTTGATCTATTATTATTTACTATTTTATTGTTTTTACAGACAGTTGTCTTTCAATTCTAAGATCACAGATAAAATGTTAGAAAAATGTAGAAAGAGGTATGTAAAATATTTTTATACACAAATCAGAGACCTAAATTTCCATAATGACTTTAAGAAATGGTTCAATCTTGGGTTATTAGAAAACACCAAATAGCTTTCATTGAACCATCTCCACAATGCCATGCTACTACAAACTTCTTCTTATACCTTGACAGCAATATCCACCAATCGTGTAATACTGAATGGATTGTTTGCCAGCGAATACAGCAAATCATAGCCCTCGACAGAAAGGCTGTAAACATAATTTATGAGAGCATTATACTTAACACAGCTTTTAAGGGACTTCATAAAATTTGCTTACATGATTAGGGTTGACTTACTTTCTGCTCTTAAAAACGATGGCCCTTGGATCATTGTAATGATGCGTGGATATAATTGTCTTTAAGGAAAGAAAGGTTACAAGAAAGGAACAAAATACTGGTAGATTTCATTAAAACTGACAAAGTTAAGGTATGTACAAGAACTCTTTTTACTTATATTGTGGATCCTATCTACTGACATTGTACAAAAAAAAATTGTGAAAACCGTTACTGATGGATTTTAGAAGGATTAACACACAATAACCTCAACCCGTGCTTTTTATGAGAATTCTATTCTCGTAGTTTTGATAATAGGTGACAATATTATATAGATTAAATCAGCCAATTAGTACAGACAATTAGTAAACAATATTTTAATATATTGTTAAATCAAAGATTTAGTGATAAATTATGAACAAAATAATTTGTGAAAAATGAATACACAAATTTAGATCCTACTGGAAATGTCTGGAGGTACAAATCAATGAAATTTGGTGTCATGAAATAATAGACGTATGTTTTCTCAGTAAGTTTATTCCTATATATATCGAGTATTAATATCTCAGATATTTGATATTGCAATCTTTGTAGGAGTACTTATTTGGTGTATATAGAGGACAGATAGAGAGTGAATCACATCAGAAATTCCACACGTCGGCAACAGAACAAAATCATTTACGTTTCAAAGCCAGATCATTTTGGTATTTAGAAGATGAGGAACAGGTAAAGTAGCAAATTGTTATATATATATTTTGGTCTGTTTGATATAATCTAATTTTGATTTGAAACCTACCATATACAATAAAAGCCTAAAATGAACTGTTTGTGTATTCTGTAGATAACTGAAGTATTTGATGTATTAAAAGATTATTATAAGGAGGTTTCTGGTTGTGAGATAAATAATATAGGTTATATTGTTGATGTTTGGTTTCCTGAGGTTAGTACAGTATACATTAATTTATTTACCAATTTTGCATAACAACTTTTAAATTGTGCGATACAATGGTCCCATTATTTTTACTACTGCATTGTTTTATATTATTATAGGCTGTGGTGTACAGTCTTATTAAAAAGAGGAGATTAACCAAGTCCAAAGCCTGGGAAATTTTTGAAAAACCAAAGAAGAGATCAAAAGTTGAAGAAATTCTCGAACATCAGCAATTAATCAGGTCAGCATCTCCAGAATCAAACAAGCTCAAACTCCGCCCCCCACCAAAACTAAAACTGAGACAAACTACTTAAAAGTGTATCAGAAGCTTTAACTTGTGACACTGTATATCTATACTGTTACAGAACAATGTTATTTCATCTTAATTGTGAACTATTTCTTACATTCTTTATGAAATTATTTCACTATTATGAATGAAATTCGACTGATGTTCATTAAAATGCATATTATATTAAAGATTGTAGAGAAGTTTACTCAATTTGTTGTGTATCGGGGAGACTGAAAGCATCTATAAATTAAAGATTGTGGAGAGGTTTACTCAATTTTTTATGTGTATCGGGGAGACTGAAAGCATCAATTTGCAATTCGATTCATGCAATTCCACTAAAACTTGAGTGTTTGATGACATCACTAATAGCAAAGGGCCTTATGTGATACCAGCATATTTTGTGATATTTTGTGGAATTGCAGAAACTACAGATGTCTTACTGAAAATCAATGCCCCTGACACACATACAAAAAGCTCTTTGCAATCTAATACATGTAATGATGTCTTAACGCAGGAACATGGCAGTAATCTTGCAAGCTCTTGAGTCCCAAGTCTGTCTTGATTATTAAATATGAGTACAGTAGTGTATACTATCTTTCCGGAACACCTGATGCCACTGTTTGATTCAAGCTCATCAATTTCGCATCACTTCCGAGTCTCAATTGCTAAAATCTTTTTTTTTGCATATTTATTGGAATAATTTGTAAAAGCGTTTTTAGAGATCAGAACTTGGTCCATTGTGATTTAATGAATATTTGTTTTAATATATTTGCTAATAGTGTAACTGATTAGAGATTCATCTATCTGTCTGTATCACTTTTCAAAATGCACCCATGATAAATATTCTCCCCATATAGACTGATGACATAATCTTTTAATACCTACTAAAGAGAATATTTGTCATGAGCATCTCCACCGATATATCTTTATTTAATTATAGTCAAACAGGACATGGATCTACATTTTGTAACTAGTTCAGGTTATTGAAAGACTTATTTTTAACTTTATTTCTTCAAATGGTTGCATGGTGAAATAAGTTATAAAGATAAGATTGATTTTATATTACCTATATACCTAGAATCTTGTCTTATATAGTTCCTTATTTAAAGTAATTCTAATTTATATTTATATTAAACTACCATTTAGTGAGAAACAGGCATGATAGTTAATATAAATGTTCAATTAGAGTTGTTGACACATATTGCAATTTTAACTTATGTCATGCGAAATTTAATTTATACTTGAGGTGTTTATTCAAATGATCCCTTATTTCCTTGATGTTATTGATTTATATGGAAGTATCAAAAGAACATATAGTTGTGTTCCTTAACATACAGCTCTCAACATGGCATAGTTTACCTTGCCATCATGTCATGACACCATAATATTAAAAACATTCCTTCCATTAGTGATTGACATAGACTGATGAATTGAAGCATATATATTATTTATTAATGTATGTAGGTACATATGATGATTATCTGGTCTTCATGACATAAAACTGAAACAATTGTATATAGAGCACTAGGAGAATGAATATGGTGGCCTTTAACTTAATAATCTGTTAAAACAATATTCTTTTATATGAAATTTGTGTTTTGTTAATTTTATGCAACAGTGATCATACAAGATTATTGTACAAAGCTGTATGTTATGAGAATGCTATATGATATGAAAGGCAGTGTTCTGTTTCTTGTTACTTTTGTATTTGAAAAAGTTATCATTTCTTGAATATTATATTTTATATTTGAAGATGAATAAAAGGTATGCAATAATTTGTATTGTTTATCCGATCTCTACTCTCTTAAGTTCATAGGTAAATTTTTTCTTATGATGACCTACTCGACCTTAATGAATTATTCATGAACAACAACAAACACATGATCCGAAATTAGACATTATTCATACAGTTGATTTAGGCATGAATTTTGAGGGAAGAAAAGAAAATCATGGTTGTCTAGAAGGTAATAACCTGTTTCTTATTCACAAATCGTATTCATAAGATAAAGTAATACCATAATAAAATATTCATGTAATAAAAGTCTAGACAGGGCTGTTATTTAATAAATAATTTATTGTATATAATATCACAGACATTGTTATATATAAAATAATAGCAATATTATTAAAATAACTTATGTTGCACAAATTCTCAGGACGGAATAATACACTATACATACATACTCTAAACAGTGAAACTGGATGATTTATTTTCAAACAGTAATCATGACTGAATTAACTGTTACATTTTTATTCAAAAATACTTCAAAGTATCATTTCAAAGTCAAAATTGGGCAGTAACCCACCAGAATGTTCTGTTATATTTGCACCAGATCTTCATCATGAAAACTTGGATAATATGAAGCTTTTATTCTACTTCTCTTACTTTGCTGTCATCCTTTCTGTCTTGATTCTTCTCTCTTCTACATATCGAACACTCGCAAGTACCTGAATAAACAGATTGTAAATGTAGAAAAGTGAAAAAAATCTTAGACTGATGGTACAGTGTATCTTGATAATCTGTTTGGATTTGTATCATTCTTCTACTGAGTGCTAGTAAGTAACATCTTTCATAAAAAAAATGAAATACAATGATTTGTTTACAAAAAAATTGAGACCATCAAATTTAAAGATTTACAGGCAGAACATTGTGCTCAGATAGGAAAATTAATCTTAATTTGATTGTGAATTGTACATTAGTGCTTTTAACTGTATACATTTGAATATTTGATTTCATATAACCAAAATATAATATATAGCCTACTAAAGCTAAGTAAATATTTATAAATAGGAAAACAGCCTATCAAGCTACTGGCTTAGGCAGAATACAAAACAATCTGTATTTATGTAAATCAAAAGTGAATGGATTAAGTTTTTCATAAATAAGTTTGGATATCATGATATTAGAGTGTATCTGGGTAAAAAAAAAAAGTGAATAATTGTATAAAAATGTTAAATTAACCTTCAAGTAACCTTTAGTACAAAAAGTGCAATTTTCTAGCAACATGCAAAAGGTTAATAAAAAGAATAAATTGAAAAACAACTAAACTAAAACTGGCTAAGTTTTTCTCACCATTTAATATATTTTCAATTATGGAAGAAATTTATTCATAATGGAAGTTTTCCGATTTCTGAAAATCTTAAAAAGCAAAGTTTGAATTAAGGTTTAATTTTAGATTACATGTGCATAGTAGAAAAAGTTTGTGCATACTCAGACATATTTCTGCTAATAACAAAGAGGTAAGGGGAGTATCAATATAGAATATAATAAGTCTTCATGCTTCATCTCCTGTACAGTCATCTTTTTATAGTCAATTGTGAGCCAAAAAAGTGGTGTCCCTGTTTCATTGACAAAATCTGAAAAACTACATGATGTAGGTTACATCTTTAAAATATTTACTGACAATTTTCTTTTTGCATAAATGTAAATGTACAGCAGAAACAAATATGCCAGAATTTTTACATTTTGAGTGATACAATTTTTGAGTTGAGGCAATAAAAAGGAATATAAACAAGATTAGATGACTTTGTAAATGAAACATGGAGCATAATTTTCTCTGATCTTAATAATACCAGTTTGAATCTGAAGTCAAAAGTTATATTGTAGGCCTGCATAGAGTAAACCATACAGGATTTACAATGCCAGTAATGAAGATGAACTTGTTTCTATATAGGAATAAATACATTGAAATTGATATATATATATACATGTACAAGGCAACACTCAAATACATAAATAGGGTAAAGGAGACAATTCCAATACAGGTACCTAATGATTTCACATCATGCCTCAATGTCATTCTCTGCTTTGAACTAAGATTTTGGAGGTAGTTAATGTGGGCTTTATGGCAACTGAAGAACACAAAACCACAGAGAGAATAGAAAGAAATAATAAGCATACACAAATTAAAATCATTAGTTGCAATCAGTACACATGATATTCAAGTCACAAAGATACCCCTACCCCTACCCTTACAAAATTCAAATACCAGATTTATATCTGTGGGCTATCCATTTCATCAAATCGATAAATCAGAAATAACTACAAAGGTATTCCATATTTTTGTAAAAAGCAAGATGTAGTTTTAGTTGCTAAGCAGTTCTTGCAAATAAGAACCAGTCACCATCAGTTAATCAACCTTAAAAAGAAACCAAGAGACATATAAACTTACTTCTGAATCAGTGTATTGATATCTTTTTGTTCCTGAGCATCAGTAACAATAGCTGTATTCTGATTGGTTGCGAATGGTGAAGATGAAGTGTCAAGTTTAATACTAGGTTTCTTTAAGATTGGTTTCGGACTAACTGGTGGAGGGATTGGTGACTTTTTAACAGGTTTGTCATCTGAATTTGTAGCACTAGAGAATGTTAAACTTGAACTTTTGGGAGCATGGTTAAAGGTGAAAGGTCGTATATTTTTAAGAGATGAATGTCCTATTGGTTCACTACGATATTTTGATATCAGTGATTGTATTCTTTCATTTCCTTCAACAGTTTGATCTGATTTAGCTGGTTCTAAAATTCAAATAATACAAAATGTTGAAATTTTATTAATTCAGTGAAAATGAAATTCTACTACAAGAGCAAAAATGAAATTTCATTACATCATCTAAAGAAACCTTAAAAGTAAAAAGTTTGAAATATCTTTTACAGGGCATTTGATATTGATTTTTCAGAATTGAAATATAATTCAAAATATTGTACAAATAATGAAATCAAGTGCAAGGATTGTGCAGAATTCAGTGTAATATAGTGCTGTTGTGCATGTCAGACATGTATCTGGGAACAATGGTTTCTTTATTAGTCAAATATATAAAAGTGAGTTCCGAAGCAAACATTCAGTGTCAATTATTTTCAACTGGTAAATATAAATTGGTTGATCCAAAAATCTTGGCACAGTTTTAATTGAATTTGATGCTCGACATGACTGTTAAATACAAACAAATCAGCTTTACTTATCCAACTACAAGTACTAGTTTATACCTTAGACAACTAATCACAAGAGAAAATGAAATTCCTCCTGACATTGTGCATTCAAATTTTTTCAACAGGCTTCCCTTCCTTGGTGTTTCAGGTCATTGGTCATTTTTTTCAAATTGTACCCACATATTAGATTTATGACTGCTACATACTATGCAATTTAATTTAGAGATTGAAAATGAATACAGGCTTTCAAGCAAGAGATTAATTTGAAATATTTTCAAGTCATCAGCCAAAATAGAGAAAATAATACCTTAGTTATAAAGTTTAGAGTCAAAAGTAAAAAGGGATACACATATCTGAGAGACTATCATTATGGTAAATTTGGTGCTTGGTAAAACATTGCAGCATGCATCTTCTTCAAGGTGACATCAACAACACTGCATGCAGAATAGTATGAGTAGATACTTACTAGAGAAGAAAATAGTACCATATTGACCAGTGGTCACTTTACCTGTTGATGTAGGGGACGGTTGGTCAGTTGGTTGTTTGGCATGTGACCATGGTAATGGAGAAGAACGTAATTTTGAAAGAGTTTTCTTTGTGAACAAAGACTCTGCTGGTCGAGATTTTAAAGATGACACGCCTTCCTACAAAATACAATATCAGTTGATCA